CTGATGCAGCATGGTCAGGTAATTGCTTATGCTTCAAGGCAGTTGAAACCACATGAAAAGAATTACCCAACACTTGATTTGGAATTGACTGCAGTTGTCTTTGCTTTGAAGATTTGACGTCACTACTTATATGACGTCAGGTGTGAGATTTTCACGGATCATAAGAGTTTGAAGTATATTTTCACTTAGAAGGATCTGAATTTAAGACAAAGAAGATGACTTGAGTTGATCAAGGATTATGATCTGACGATTCAGTATCAGTCTGGTAAGGCTAATGTGGTAGCAGACGCTCTGAGTCGGAAGTCTTATAGATTATCAGGTAGTCACCTTACTTCTGATGAGTATCTGATACGAGATATAGAAAAATTACAGTTATAGGTGATTTCCTCTACTAGTCCGGATTCTGGTGTGTTGACTCAGATGAACATTCAGTCATCTTTGGAAAAAAGGATTCATGAAGCCCAGAAGTCAGATTCTGACTATTCGAAGCTGATTGTTCAGATTGAATCTAGTAAGAAACCTGAACTATAAATTTTTTATTATGATATCATTTTCTGTAAGAACAGACTGTGGATTCCTATGTTTGGAGATCTGAGGAAAGAGATTATGTACGAATCTCAATATTCAGGCTATACTATTCATCCAGGAAGTTTTAAGATGTATGGAAATATGAAATGTTTATTTTTGTGGCCTGGAATGAAAAAGGATATAACGGAGTTTGTTTCGAAATGCGAAGCTTGTCAGTTAGTGAAGGCAGAGCATCAGCGACCATGAGGTCTTTCGCAGTCATTGCCTATCCCTGAGTGGAAGTGGGCAGAGGTAATGATGGATTTTGCTATGGGTTTTCCTCGATCAGGGCAAGGACATGATGTAATTTGAGTGATTATCGATCGATTAACAAAGTCTGCACATTTTCTTCCGATCAGGTAGACGGATTCGGTGGATAAGTTAGCTCAAGTATATGTGAAGAAAATTGTCAGATTACACGGTGTGCTAAAAGTGATTGTATCTGATCGAGATGGACGATTTACTTCCAGACTTGGAAGGGTATTCAACAAGGATTGGGTACAAAGTTACACTTCAGTACGACTTTTCATCCGCAGACTGATGGACAGTCTGATAGGACTATTCAGGTATTGGAAGATCTTCTGAGGTTATGTGTTTTGGATTTTGGAGGCAGTTGAGAAGATCACATCCCTTTGATAGAATTTGCTTATAATAACAGTTTTCAATCCAGCATTGTCATGACACCTTACGAAGCTCTATACGGCAGGAAGTGTAGGACTCCTTTGACTCTAACTGAGGTGGGAGATAGACAAGAATTGGGTGTAACTTTGTGGTTGAAACTGTTAAGAAAATCAATCTGATTAAGAAAAGATTAAAAACTGCACAAGATAGACAACATAAGTATTACAATCAGAAGCACAGATTTGTGGAATTTCAAATTGGTGACTTTGTGTATGTCAAAATCAGCCCGATGAATGGTGTTAGCAAATTTGGAAGAACGAGGAAGCTCAGTCCACGGTATGTCAGACCTTTTGAAATTATTGAAAGGATTGGAAAGTCAGCTTACATATTGTTATTGCTTGATCAAATGTCCGATATACGTAATGTTTTTCACGTATATTCTTTGAGAAAGTGGATATCTGATTCTGAATAAAAACTATCTGCTGATGATGTGGAGATTCAGAAGAATCTGCAGTACAATGAAGACCCTGAACAGATTTTAGCTTACGATGTTTGCAAGTTAAGAAATAAATAAATTCCGATAGTTAAAGTTCAGTGGAAGCACAGAACAGCACGAGAAGCGACTTGGGAGAAGGAGTCAGATATGAGAAAGTTATATCCGCATCTGTTCTAACTCAGTCTTATTTTGGAAATGTCGAGGATGACATGTTTCTGAAGTTGGGGAGATTGTGAAAGCTGTTTTCCTTCCAAGATCGTCCAAGACGAAGTTGGATCGTCCGGGACGATCGGTACAGGTTGTAAAGGAATTTTTGGACAGAGAAGTTCATCTCAGGACGAACTGGGGTTCGTCTGGACGAAAAATTTCCCGAGAGCAACTAGTCCATGTACGATTGTGGACAATTACTGTACACATATGGACGATTTTTGTCTAGAGGGCAAATCGTCCCGAGACGATCTGGGATTGTCCGGGACGATCAGTTTGGATATATATGGGTTTGAGATCTTTCTGAAGAGAGAGAAAGCACATGAGAGAGAAAACTAAAGGAAAAAGAAGAAAAAAGTGATTTTTGGGCGACTTCTATCCGTTTTCGTCCGTAGCAGCAGTTGATAAAGTTGACCGACTTTAGGTAAGGCACATTCCGCCTTTCTCAATTTTCAGAAACGAGGATTTTGACAATTTTTTTGTTCCGGATTTTGTTCCGTAAGCGAATAATTGATTCCGTTTTGTACTGACGAACTTTTTACCGTGTAACTTTTGATATGTTTCTGAGTTAATATTTGTGCACGTTTTGAGTATTTTCTGAAAAATTTTCTCCATGTATTTTGAATTCTGCGATGTTTTAATCGAATAACGAATTATCAAGATATTGAAAAATATTACTTCAGTACAATGAAAATATTATAATGATGTTGTGTATTATCTGTGATAATTTGGTGACTTTATGAATCTGTGAATTTTGTGTAAATTCCGTATACTGCCGTTATGCCGCTGATGATTTTTCTGATGAAATTTGATTTTCTGAATTGAATGCTTTGATATGTTGTGATATCAGAAGGGAGTTATAAGGGACCAGAATCCTTTGAGATTCTGTCTGTGTCTGGGAAATCTGGAAAGAAATAAGTTTTGTTATGAAAATTATGTATATCTGTTCTATTCTGGTGCTATAAGCACAAAGGGAGACATAAGGGGCCAGAATCTGAGATTCTGTCTGTGTCAGGGAAGGGAGGCATAAGGGGCCAGAATCCGTTGAGATTCTATCAGGGTCCGGGAATCTAATATATGAAATGTGATTTTTATCTGAATTGAATTCTGATTTGTACGATCCGATCCGTTCTGTGATTTGATAAGTTTTATAAGATCGGTTATGCACTCTGATTTGAATTCATGTATCTGTGATTTGATTTCTACTTATCAAGTATCTGTTTTGTCTGTTATAAGATTTATGTACGATTGTTTGAATTTCTGCTAATCAAATAACTGTTTCTGATGTGTTTTCTGATGTGAAATTCTAGAGATTTTGATTGGCGAGTGTTGTTTTGTTGAGCTGTTAGCTCATCCTTGCTTTCTGCGTGGTTTTCAGGTTCTGGGGAAGGGAAGGAAGTCATGGACTAGCGGTTCTGTGTATGATCTGAGATTAGGTATTTTATACTTTTGATTTTTGTACAGTCATGACTTTCTGTCTGCTGCCATGCACTGTATTGTAGATGATTATTTTGATGAAAGGTAAAAGGAAAAATGGATGCATTTATGTATATGTAATTGAAGTTTATAGCAGCTCTGTGTTTCTGTTAATTTGAATATCTGGAAGAAAGTTCTGAAACAAATTACAAAACTAGATCCTGGATTTTCATTTCCGTCGCGGCCCGATGCGAGCGGGATCCGTTCCGGTCGGGTTGGGTCGTGACAATTAGAGTAGGGCGTAATGATTTTTTTATTTTTTTGCATTTTCAACACAAAAATTAGGCCTGTCAATTTCGGGTTACGGGTCGTGTTCGGGTCCGACTCGTAACTGACCCGGCTTTATTCGGGTTCGGGTCAACCCGACCCGGTTTTATAAACGGGTCGGTTTTTGAAACCCGAAACCGACCCATATCGATTTCGGGTCAACCCGACCCGACCCGTTTCGACCCAGTTGACCATATATACATTAATTTTAATTATAATTTAAGGGAAAAAATGAGCTGAAGTGCAAACAGCAAACTGCAAAACAGCAACTATAGAGAAATACTAATTTACAAATTACAAATCTATCATTTACTCATTTTTTTAGTTACAAATTTACAACCTCAATTCAATTTTAGAGAAATACTAATTTACAAAGTTTCAACATTCAAATTTACAACCTCAATCTCAATTCAGAATAATTATTTATACAATTATACATTTATATATTGAAATGCTCAAAGCTTCTGGCATCTACAAAAGTTCAAACCGGGCTAAACTAGAGAGTAGAGAAAAATCAATATGTTGGTTAAACATCGTTGCCAACAATATTTGCACAAATTATTAAACCCTAGCCGAAATAAACCCTAGCAGAGAAATAGATTTCACGGTATAACTTCAACTTCCAAAAATCTCAACACCATCCCAGAGAAATAGAGAATAAATCAATAAATGATAAAATGAAGAACAAAAAATATCAAAACCTTAAACCTTCATCTTCTAAACTATCAAAAAATACTAATAGAGAGCATAAACGAGATACAAACAGTGAAACAAATTAGGGAATGTGTGAATCGAAAGTTTGAAATGTAAGCGTAGACGCCGTCGTGCCGACGAGACGAGTAGACTCGACGAGAGCTCCAGCATCGGAGAGGCGGAGACTGGAGAATCGGAAACCCTAAACAGAAGCCAGGAGACGGAACGAGAGTTACGAGATTATGGCCCCGCTCGTCGCTTGATGCCCGCGTTATAAGTTATAATTTATTAAACCACGCGGGTCAGTTCGGGTTACTATTGGGTTTTCGGGTTAACCCGTACCCGACCCAAAAAACTAAATGGGTCGAAATTCCAAACCCTAACACGACCTGTTATTTAACCGGGTCGACCCGAACCCGATAATTTCGGGTCGGTTTCGGATCGGGTTTTCGGGTCGGATCAAATGTTGACAGGTTTGTCAAAAATGCAAAAAAAAAAAAAAGCTTCGTTTTCATTTAAGAACGTAAATTGATATTTTTTTTTTCTAATTATGTTGCTTTCATTTAATTTATTTTATTCTAAGATCTTTAAAATTCCTCCAATTTAGATGGTTGAATGCGTTCTATTCCAGGCCGAATCGCCGTAATTTTCTGGAAGCTAATAGATTTTCATATATTTGCAGATCTCACCCACCTCTCTCTTCTCGGCTATAACAACAATGGCGGCAATCAAAAACCTATATTTACCGGTTAATTAATACACCCGAGTTATAGGACCGATCGAGAGAACAGCAGCGCAAACGGGAGGGCCCTCTCGTTTCTCGTATCGCTGTCGCACTCTGCGTTTGTACTTGGGATCGACTTCTCGAGAACGATCATTGGAAAAAGCTCGCCGCTGATCGATGACAACCCTAACAAACTATCAGCGGAAACCCTAGGCTTAGATGCTTGGGGCTGCCTTACTCGCGCTGGATCTCTCTGCACTCCTGCAGTACGCGTGCACTTTACTATTAATACTCGTTGCCGGGGTGTTCGTCCTCACGAGAAAAAAAGCCCCCCGGTCCTCCGTCGTAGACGCGGCTTTGCAGTGCAACGAGGAGTTCCAAGGCCACCATCATATGCTCATCGGGAGCGGTGGGAGCGACGCCGTAGGCGTGGGGGTATCAGAATGCCCTGTTTGCACGCGATCGGCTAGCAAGAAGTGTTCTAGGTGCAAGAGCGTCTGGTACTGGTAGGGGTCATCTTTGCTTAGCCCTATTTAACCTTTTTACTCTGTTGGTTTTGAATGCTTTTTAATTTCTTGATTGGAGAATGGTAGTGTCGATTTTGAATGATTTATATGGGTTTGAGTTTTTTTTTTTCGCTGATGCTTCCAGAATTTATTACGTTCCTGATTTTTGGTCTACAATGATTATCCCACTTCGTTTCAGTAGCTAGTAGCAATATAGACTTGAAACTAATGTAAGTATTTCTTGAGGGTCCACTCTGATAATATGCTTCCACATTGGCACCTTAACAAACCCATGTGATGTAAATCAAGTCACACCTCATCAACCCATTGGGATCGGCCATGATATTGAGGGTGACCATCTACCTCTCATTCAATCCAAAGTTTTTTTTTGCGTTTCTGACGCCTACGCCATCCGGTGTTACAGACCAGATTCGCTGTGACGTAGATAATTTGGGATGGGTGTGTTTGAGTGGGGAGGGACTTCTTCATAAGCATCGACATACTCAGTCAATTGCGCAGTGATTGGAAACCAATCAGTGCATACAATCAAGCCTAACTTGGTATACCTCTCTCGTCTTAATGTTATGGTTCTCAAATTTGGGATCATCATTATTCACTCCCTCACAATCATTTTTTGGGACTTTTGAGCCAATCAATGCAAACTCACATACACATCACATATACAAGCTTATCTCTTGGCTGATAACCAAAGCTCTCAACTAACAGATCAAGACGAGCTTAGTGCCTCACCAACATTTAAATGTTGGTTTTCTCCTACTATTTTGGGCTATGATCTTTATGGTTTTTCCTCAGATTGGCGTCAGTTGCCATAGTGTTCTTGCGTAATGTGTTACACTCAAGGCTTATCATTCAAATGTCGCAAATAGGTCTATCGTAAATTACATAGCCCAAAAAAATTATTTTCTATACCAACAATTTCAGTTATCATATATAATTTGGGTATATATCTATTATAAGTGTAGTGAACCATTATAACCTCCTCCATTTAAATCATCCGTGGTTAGTAGCACATATTGCAGATGATCTTATCACTAAATGCACTTCCTTGATGGTTAATATAACTTGCTAAATAGCTCCTCATAGGTTTTAATCTTGTTTTAAGCTCTCATAATTCTAGTTCAAGACCCAACTGAACCCCAAGTCTATTCACATATATACACACACACACACCAACATGAGTAGCCTATAAATCAAATACTCCGTGGGTTTGTTTGAAATTCTGTCACATCATATAGTTTACCCAAAATATTAGGAGAATATAGAATCAATTTGTTGCACATTAGCCACTCACTCAAGTAATAAAGAGCGCATATATCTATTAGATGATAAGCTAAAATCAAACATAGAAGTCACATAGTTGGACTTGTTGATTCATGATTACTTGAGCGTAACTTATGCATTTCAAAATCTCACATCATCACAATAAGGTAACAACAATTGCAATAAGTATTAGTTGCATTGAACTTAAACATGAACTTAGGGATCTGATACATTATAGTTAACTGTGTAGTTATGTCCAACCAATATTGATTACAAGCGATAAACCATTAATATAGCAAGGCTAAGATGAGCTTTCAAATACTTGCTTACTAGTTAATTTTATTATCAAGAAGAGTGCCAATTAGATTATGTAATATACCGTGCGAAGGTTCTTCCATATATATATGTTGGATATTCAATGAGTATGGCCTTTGTGCTAAAATGATATCAACAATCCATAATATTTTAATAAGGAGGAAGAGTACGTGATATAATGTAAAACCTCTTATGATGTCCTTGGAAAACAAAAGGTAGGAAACATACATGCTATAGTGCATAATAATAATTGTCTATTACTGTAGCATATTAATAAATACTACCAAAAAAATGGGATAGAAAAGAAGTTACACTAATTTAAAGACAATATGCATATAACACCATCATAATGCAAAATATTAATAATGATTTGTCCAATCCCATTTCCTACAATATTTTATCAAGAAAAAGGAGTGCATAGTAATTGTGTAAAGCATGCTATAATATGCTTAGACATTAGAAAGAAAGAAGCATGATCACATGTTTCACTATAATAATCATTATCAATTGCTTGAAGCATGCCATCAATACTATACAAAAAATGGGATAGAAATGAATCTACATCGAGCCCAAGATAATACTGTGGGCTCTGAAAATTTATGCATGGCTCTTGTAAGGGATTTTGTGTTCCACACTTTTTGAAGGAAGATTTGATTGTAGATAATTAATATTAAGAGATTTTGCCTTCATTTTATGAGAACTTTATGATCTAGTTCTAGTTTTCCTATACGCTCAAGCTTCTATGGTTAATCGCTATCGGTAACAAGAGAAGATTTTTTATTAAGGTTATTTATTAGATGCTAATTGCTTAGCTTATAATAGTAGTGATTTTGGATTTAGAGATTGCATTTAGCTTAAAGTGAATGGTAGGGGAAAATAGTAAATGATGACAATTCCAATCAAAATGTCATGGTCTCGTTGACTTATCATGGACTTTAGTCCATTTAATTAGTAGAGGTAGTCGATGTAACTTGACCAATTGACTTTTTTTTTTTTGGAAGCCATGGGTTGCGTCGTCTAAGGGAACATTCTAGACCTCGGGTAGATCTTTGCATTAAGGGATTATAAATTGGCTTTAACTAACAAAGGGCTTGATGCCCTATCAAGTGCACTCTATGATTCTCACTTAGGGGGTTGGGCCATTGGATAATTTGCGGGCTCTGGCTATGATAGTAATTCAACGATGTCATTTTGTAGCTAACCATGTTATTAGAGGGCTTCGATCATAATGCCTTTGTCATTTAGTAGAAAAATCACCCAGTCAGAGCATATATGCATGTTGTAATTGATTTGAAGACTGCTTTGTGATTCATGTAAAATATTTGGAATTCTCCATATTCAATTATTTGCATGAATTCTTTGTCATTAGAATGCACACAACATTTTGTTTTGAGTTTTAAGGGGATCACATTCTATTTGCTTGCAAGTGTTACAATTTTGATTGTGACTATTTCAATTTAGATTATTGTTTTATGTTCAAACCAATATTGGCTTGCATTTTGTCCACATGAATGTTCAGATAGTACATACTGGCATTTCTTTGCCTTTTAATAGAGGCTTTCACTTGATTATTTTTACATATGATTGCAGTTCATGGTTCTACTCTTAGAGATAGAATGCGAAACGAGCATATACGTGAAAAGGTAGGAGTAGCTATCGAGGCATATAAAGATTAGAGAGGGTTGTTTTAGATAGTTTGGTCACATAAAATGTCAGACTTCTGATGACCCGGTTAGGAGAGTAGATTTATTATATTTGTCCTATGTTAAGAGAGGTAGAGGTGGACCTAAAAAGACTTTGTTAGAAAATATTAGAACTGACATTTTTTTATTATTTAAATAAAAATTTGACTCTTAACAAGACACAATGGAGAAAAAAGATTCATGTAGCCGACCCCACATAGATAAACGCTTGATGTTGTTGTATTGCAGTTCATGGTTCTAGCAATTCTGAGTTATTTTGGAAGTAATTACAGGTCCTTGTTTATGCTTGTAGGCAGGTTGCCGAGTTCCTTATTAATCTAATTTTGACATATATTTGGGTTATTTTGATGCAATAAACACTGCATTTGAAATTTTTATTTTATAGTTTTATCTTTATTTTTATACTGTATTTGCGTCCAAAAGTCCATTTTGTCTTTTTGGGCCATTTCATTAAAAATCTTGGCAGCCTCGTTGTGTCTCCCCTATGAGGGAGGCATCTGAGAGGAGTGTCTTGCCTACTATTTAAAGGAAGATGTGTGTGGTTATTGTACTACATTATTGCCTGGATATTCAAAACTCACCATGCCGAAAAAAAAAGCTTGTTTAGGGTATTTGCATGAGAATTTTTGTAGCATATATATTTTACTTTATCATGCTAAGAAAAGCACCCATATGTTTCATTTGTGGTGCAAAATGTGTTGCAAATGAAATTTTTGGAGTGTAATTATTGTTGACAATGAATGACAAGAAATTTACGCTGAAAATAGCTACATACAATTTTTGTTTTTTTTTTTAATTTTCTCTGTTTTCCTACAATGATAAGTGTTTTTTTTTAATCTTGCTAAGGATGAGGTCGCTGGAATTCATTTGATGGTCGGCTAATTTTTTTTTTCTTCTGAAAGCTTTGAAATTGATTCAACACTTGAGTATAAAAATTAAATCTGTTCTTTTAACATTAAGTTTTCATTAGTTTTTTAGTTCTATCCAATTGATAATATATTTATAAATTAACCTTAGGAATTATTTTGGGTGCTAAACTAGTTTGAAATCTTGAAAATATTATTTTACATTTTAAGAAATACTCTCAATAAATCAAAAAATAATGGTTATTATTCCTGGGTTCGAAAACTGCATAATAGGTCTGACTGTGCCTAATGAGTCCAGGTAAAAATAGTTTAACGAGTTTAGGAAATTAGACACTCCATTCCAGATTTATAAAAGATTGGGCTCTTGGGTATGGAATTGGGCCAATCTAGCTTTGCTCGGTCTAGCTGGGATGAAGGCAAGGTAAGTTCAACGGCATAGGTTATAATTATGGGTAACTTTTTATTAATTCTTATTTAATGATTATTAAACTTAAATATAAAATATTATATATCATTTTGCACTGAAAAAATATTCTGATAGAAGCAAAGCTTAATTTTAAGTATATGAACTAATTATGTATTTATTGATTAAGTAATCATAAAATTTAACTTTTCACAAACTAATTTAAATGGTGGTCAAAATATGTTGGGATTTTTGTAGTAGTTTTGTTAACAAAGTTTAAGTATGTTTTAGGTATTAAAAATGATTTCTGAACAATTTTTTGGGGTATTTAAAATGAAAACTTGCATATAAAATCTTGGGTAAAAAATGAAATAAATAATGATTTAACTTAAATGAAATTTTGATGTAGACAAAGGGGGGGGGGGTCAACTCATGTCCAAAATAAATCAATTTTGGCCTCCCTCGAGTTTACAAGCTCAATCAAAATTGAGCTGAAATTTTAGCTCATTTATGAGCTGATCTTTAGTTCACTTATTGAACTAAGGGTTAGCTTATTATTAGCTAACATTTTAGTTCATATTTATCTTTTATTAAATGTTATAGTTTTTATTATTATATTTTTAATTATGTTAGTCTCTTGGAATTCCAAAACGGCTTTTGGAATTCCAAGATGTTGTTTCATTTTCCTATTCGGTGGCTCTTTGGATTCTTCCATGGGTTTTTTTTGTGCCTTTGCCCATTGGGATTCCGGCCGGCTACTGGTGTTCCGTGCCTGGGATGATTCCCGCGGCTGTGGCTCCTTGGTTCCGTGCGGCCTCCTTGTCTCCCGTGGCTGCTGCTTCGGTTCCTGGGCTTGGGCTGTTTTCCGTGATGCGTGGGGGGGATTTCCGTGCTCATGGTGCTTAGGTTCTTGTGCAAATTAATGTTATGTGTCTTTTGATATTCCCTTTCATACCTATATATATGGGGGATTTGTAATGTTTTAAAAAATTGAATGTTATGTTATTTTTGGAAAAGTAAACCTGCGGGTTTTTTGGAAAAGCTTGCGAGCTTTGTCCGTCTTCTTTCTCATCCCCTCTGGAAATCTTGCGAGCTCTTTCCAACCTTTCGTCTCGGCTTCTAATCTCTTCGTCTCTCCGCAAGTGCCACTCCATCTGTATCTTTCTTCCAAGTGCAGCAACTTTAGGGTGTCGTCTTTAATTTTAAGTTTGCAAGTCGTCGTCGTTTGTAATTTTTTAATTTCTTTTCTGTCTTTAAATTTAAATGTAAGAGTTTGCTCGTCGTCATAGAATTATCGAGTGTTAGCGGGTGTCCGGGTGCTCATATAGAATTTCTTTTCCCCTCTTTTGTGTGGGCGAGGGGTATAGGCTCCCTGTATTTCTTGCCCCCACCAAATTTCAATAATTTATTGAATATTTTAAAATAAAATTTTAAATCAATCAATGTTTATGCTTGTGTTCCTCATCTTTGAGGCTTTGGTAATAATATGATATTCCAGTTCATTTGTTACTATGAATGCTAATAGCACACTAGACACTAGGACACAAAACCTTGGAATTTTTTGATCAACAATTGAGCTCATCCTCCAAGCCTTCCTAGTGAACTTTTTTTATCAATATGAGCACCTGCGTGGTTGCTATAATAATTAGATAAACTTGTAAAAAACACTTAGCCAAGCATTAGATGACACCAAACAAGAGTTATCATCATCAGGTTACTGATGTACTACATGAGTCACATGTGCTCATATGTTCAACATAATGTACTTAAGCCACCTACTACGAGTTTTTCCCTATCTCAATTCCTAGTTATAAAGTTTCTTTAATATTATTGGTTTTGATATGGTGATTTAATGTTTCCGGGTTCCTCCTAATTTTGTAAGTTACCGGTAACAAGGTTTTGGTAATTAATTCTGCACACATAAACTATGTTCTTATTTTTGAAATTTTACTCTGTTGCAGAGTTTTGTGACTTTCCATCTTGCTACTGGTTTTAACAAGCTCATGACTGTGCTACATACAGGATCCTTCTTGAATGTTTGTATTGTTTCCATAGTGCTTATCTTTATCATTTGAACAATCCTTCCATGTGAGATTTAAAGCCGGTACTTTAATTTTCAGCTCTCAAGAATGCCAGTCAAAGCATTGGAAAGCCGAGCATAAGTCAAAATGCAGGGAAGTTGGGTCGCCAAATAAGTTTGATACCTATGGAACAGGTTCAACGAGGAAATCTTCTGCAATTTCATTGGTGCCTGATCATGGAACCCGTAAAGTGCTGAAAGAACCAAAAAAGGTAATGCTTCATTGAAGATTCAGTTTAGCATGAGAGATTTCTTTCTGTTAGAATTGATGAAGTTATTATTTTCCAGATCCTTTTCCCATATGATGAGTTTGTCAAGCTTTTTGGCTGGGATAAGCCAGGTTTTCCACCTTGCGGGCTTTTAAACTGTGGGAACAGGTTTGAGTATCAAATTATCTTTTTTGATGGTTATGAATTTGTTCACTTTTGTGATGAACATAGCCATCATTAGTTGGTTTATTACGCTTCTAATATGTTCTTGCTTTCATACTGCAGTTGCTTTGCAAATGTGGTTTTACAATGTCTGTCATGTACAAGACCACTTGTTGCCTATTTATTGGAGAAGAACCATAGTAGAGGATGTATGCTATCGCATGCTTCAGTCATAGTCTCATGCATTTGCATTAACTTCTTGTTCATCTTTATTACCTATGCGTCAATGAATCATTTTGCAGGCTTGAGGAGCAGAGATGATTGGTGTTTCTTGTGTGAGCTGCAAGCCCACATTAAAAGAGCTAGTGAAAGTTCACAATCTTTTTCACCCATCAATATTCTTTCTCGGTTACCAAATATTGGTGGTAATCTTGGCTATGGAAGGCAGGAGGATGCTCATGAATTCATGAGGTCATTTGCTTTCTTTATCAATTGGATAAGCTTGAGTTATTTACCTATGCCATCAAGCTGTTATATGTATGATTTTTCTTAGTATTGTGAATTTATGTAACATTTAGGTTTGCTATTGACACAATGCAATCAATTTGCCTTGATGAGTATGGAGGTGAAAAAGCTGTGGATCCTAGCACACAAGAGACAACTATTGTCCAATACATATTTGGTGGCCATCTCCGATCACAGGTTGGATTTTTTAACTTGATAGTTATTTTCTGATGTCTTTGTATTTCAGAATTTTGAATGATGCTGCTTTGCTTTAAAATAATTTCTTTGTTACGGATGATCCGATGAAATGTTTCCTGCTTCTTGTTTACTACTATTTATATATGCCTTTAATACTCTGAATGTATGCTACAGTATATTGGTTTGGGATGAAGTTGATGGGTTTGTTCTACCTAATTGCAAAATAATTCGGCCTTGGAATAGTCGGTTTTTTTTACTTTTACTGCAAAATCATATATGTGCATAGATGGGACTTACCATTGAGAAATCTTTGCCACCTTGTTTTACAATTCTCTATCAAGGTTCTTTCCATCATTAGATGTGGTTTCCTTCTGTAAATACTTTTCTCAATCTCCTTTGAAAAGCACTTAAGGCTAATGGTTTTTATCCTTAATTGATCTTTCATATCCTCCTCTTTTGTCCTATTCTTTATTGACATTCTTTCCATCAATATATGGGATTTCCTTTAGTTAATAATTTTGTTCTCTCCTTTGCCTTTAACGCTTGTGGTTTGCATTTTATTTTGTTTGCCATGGTTCTTTACTAATGAGTTGGATAAGTGTTTGCTAGATTCTGCTATGGCTATGGTAGCTGCAGATAGCTCGCCCTGTTTAAGTTTTGTATTTTAGAAATTGTTCAATCTTGATAACTAAGTACTTGGATAAATTGAATTTACTTTTAATTTGAGAATATTTTATTGGGGCAAGCTGCTAGTTCATTTACCTGGTTCACATGTGTCATGATTTATATTGGAGATTGAAGGTTACTGTTAGAGAGAGAAAGATGGATCATGGATGGGCATGCAGTCTATTTGATGTGGCTTCTTTAGTTGCATAATCTTTCTTCTTTCTCTCACTTTTTTGTCTCTCTTCCATGTGAACTCCATTCTTCTGATCTTCTCAATTCGTTCTCTTACTAGGTTCTCTTGATGCTAAACACTTTTTTCTATGAAAATAAAGGCTTAGAAGTCCACCCACAAACTCATCTACTAGTTTATCATCAAATGATATGGAGCTGAGATGCTTAATCCAAGGAGTTCTTCATGACAAAATTAAGTTTGCTACGGTTTAAAATTTCCAAGAGATCATTGATGTCACCTTCTGCTCTCAATTATTGTCATAGTCCTATGTGCAGATATGCATTTTCAATCTCAATCTTTTTCCCAAACCTAACCAAATTCCAAACCTAAACCTAACCCAAAATAAACCCAAAACTTGATCTAATCCCCGTTCCCATGCCTTTGACTCGTATTCTCTCTCCAATGTTGCCCCAACCTCCTGATTTGCCCATTAAAAGTATTTTAGCTTGATTTTTCGCTTCATTTAAATTTCACAAATGGTCCTCCTCATCTAAATAAATTACATGTTATCCTTAATGAAATTCTCAATTGAAATTGAAATTTTCTAGCCACTTAAGCACCCCTCTAACCACTCCCAATCAACTCCTTAAAATCTCATCCTCAAATTTAATCGTGAAATAGATCCTAACGAAGCCTAAATTACTCCATTTGAATTCAACCTTTTCTAATTATTTTATTTCTTTCCTTTTGTAAGTTTTATGCCATCTTTTTTTGCACACGAATTAACCACTTTCTACAATCCCAAGCACGAAAATATGTGATGCTGCACTACATTAAACAAAAATCTTTATTATCTAGGCACACTCTTCCATACTTAATCTAACATATTTCTCTTATTCTAGCCTTAAGAGTCAAACCCATGCCAACATAATTATGCTATGCGAACCCTGTTGATGTGGTCTAATTTATCTAACTCAATTACTACCCAAGCAAACTAGCCCAACCTTGAAGCTAAAATGACAGAAATGATGAAAAAATCTATTACTTTTTTACATTGTTGCTAAATATTTCTTATTTTAGATTAATCTGTCCCTTTGCATGAAGCAGTTTAGGCTTTTGAAGGTTTCTTTCCTGAACCATTGATAATTTATTGTGGTGATCTATGATAAAAGTCTTCTACCAAAATTGTTGATGCAGTTTTTTCCGTGTCTTTCTCCATATAGTACAACTGTCCCTTCATCTTTCCTTATTAGGATAGTTTTTTTGTTCTTCTGTTATTGGAGATGTGTTTCCCTTGCTTAGCAGTACAATGGAGAGTATCACTGGCAGAATATCAACTGTTTGTGTGGAATTCGCCGCATTCTAGGAGAATTGATGCAAGTGTGGAATTCTTCGCATTCGAGGAAAATTGATGCAATGCAAGATGCCTACTTAAGGTCTTTTTTGGTTTGTTTTGTTATCTTTTGTCTATACATTTATGGTAGTTTTGGTCTATAACATAGGATCTCTTAAATACAATGCAATGGAGCTCTTAAACATTGTTCTTCCTTGGCCATTAGGAACTCCGAAGTTAGAGTGCTTATGTTGAAGCATTCTTAGGATGAGTGAACTCTCTTGGAAGTTGCACAAAGAGGATAAATTCTTGAGTTTTCTATATCCAGAGTGAGCGATATCTTGTTGGATAACAATTGAGGGCATGATATTCAATGAATCATGAAATTAAAGGTTAAACATGGCTAAATTGACAAAGGTAGTAAATTATCTTTGATGGTTGAATTGTTTTTACATTGGCATCAATTTATGAAAAATTCTATCAAGATGGCAAAATAAAACCTCACATTTCCCTTGTGGTTCCACGATGAACTACGAAGTAACTGATTTGCATTCAAACACAGTTGATGATTGAGTTATGGTAATTGTCAACTTATTGCTCTTGTGGGTGTTGGTGGAATTCATGCAGTGTGAGATGATCACGAGTTATGTTCGTGAATGTGATCTTGTTTATCTTCTTATTTCATGCCTTTTCTTATAGTTATGATTATAGTGTCTTATGCTATGACATGTTAAGCTTGCTTGTTACAAAAACAATGATTCATGACTGATGGCTAAAGAAGGGCTCTTATATTGAATCAATTATGATAAACGCTTAACAATAAGGCAGCATAACAACTATCATATCTCGTGGTCCAAAGAGAACTAATGCTTCATGGACTTCAATGTGGACACATGATAGTGATTCATGATGATTGACTAGGTTGCGTCTTCTTCGTCTGTCCAAGCTTTTGGAGTACTGGGTTTCTCCAAATTGTTCTATGTTACTGAGATTGTGTTGGTCCCAAATAATAGCTGGAAAGGCCACTGATCATGCCATTGATGGTTGCATTTCCCAAATAAGGGTGTACGATACCACTTAGTATTAATTCTCCTAGGTCAAAATCTTGTCTAGAAAAGTGATGACCATTCATTAAGTATTTTGTATACAACAATATTCCTCAATTTTCATATAGTGATTAATTTGACATCAAAGTATTGAAAAACAATTTGGCCTGCGAGATATATGTTAGGATAGAAATGTGAAAGTGCAATTGCATTCTTCATTAATCATTGTCAACCATAATGTGTTTTGCGTATTTATCTTTTTTTTAATAATTTTTGATAACTTGATTGAAACATGTATAAATATTACCAGTCCTCAATTTTCAAGTTTTTCAACCGAAAATTCTCCCTACGTCTCTTAACTGATGCTTACTTTCAGGTAATATGTACAAACTGTGATATGGTTTCAAACCGTTATGAGAACATGATGGATCTGACAGTTGAAATACACGGGGACTCTGAATCTTTGGAGGAGTGCCTGAATCAGTTTACTGTTAAGGAGTGGCTTGATGGAGAGAATATGTATAAATGCGATGGGTAAGGATGGCTAATGTTGCATTTGGGTTTGATTCATGTTTTTTTTTTTGTATAATTTTGACATTTGTGCATTGTAATTAAATTATCATATTATGGAAGTAGTAATGTTATATGCTCTTGCGATAAAAAAAAAAAAAAAAACTCAATTTTAAATATTAATTAACTGGTTAATTTAATTTGACCTACTTAGATTGTCAAAATTACACCCACCTCCATTAATTTAAAAACTACTCTCACCTCACCTTTGTCATATACATACACATACAATACCTTATTCTTCTGATACAAATTTCACATAATTTTTCATTTAACAACACTTAAAATGTTTGACAATGGGTGTACTTACAATATTTAAAATTGTACAATCGGATATTGAAGTATTTTCCTCTTGTGAGGTGAAGCATAAGCTTCAAAGTATTATGAGGTGTAAAACTTAAAATGAAAAATAATATATTTAAGAGTTATCCTCCTTAGGACTCAATAATAAGTAATATCATAAAAAATTAAGCTTTATTTTGTCTCAATAAAGCATTTGAGAATAATCTAGAAATGTTGAAGTAATATCATAAAATGTCATACATGCATTCAATAATAAGCAAGAAGTCTATGATAAAAAAATAAATATAAAAAAGTCTAAAATAAATATGTAAACATGTCATAAAATATATTAGTTACGACTTAGGAGTCCAAATTCAAAAAATCTCTCATACTTTCATCACTTTGAGAGACTTCAGTCGAGCTAACATCATATTCGATTACTTCACGCCTCCATCTCATCCTCACTTGTATCAATATCCTTCCAATCTTTATCATCCTCTTCATTCTCCATCATCTTCCACTTCCCAAATCTATTAAATGCAATAAGAACATAAATTAAAACAATTACTATGTTTGACCCTTTATAATTTCTATCACATAAAAATTTTATACAGTTGATTTTAGCATTTTTGTTCATTCATAAAAAATGTTAACATTGAGATATTTCTCTTGTAATTGTGATGATGTAACTCCATTATCATCCTTCACGAATCATTATGCACTGACACGACACGACACGGACACGGGACACGGCAATTTTTAAAAATATAGGACACGGGTGCGGTGTGGACACGGCATAATATTTTTTTAATATAATATATAATAATTTTTAAAAATATAGGACGCAGACACGGCGTGGACAGAAGGCTCTTTTGAACCTTCACCTAATCCACCATCGCCAGTAGCAGAGCTCATTTTGCTAACAAACCAATCATACATATGAATACATCAAATTAAATTGATATGAAGTGAAATCAAAATATCCCAATAATAAGACAACATGAATACAACAATATACCAGTCTGCCGGGGGTCCAAGGGGGCGTTGCCCCATGGCGGGGTTTGAAGTTCTGCTTGTTTTTAAAGTTCGTAAGTTGTTTGTATGGGACGATACCGAGTGGTACCGAGCATGTACCTAGCAGTATCGAGCATATACCTAGCAATACTGAGCATGTACCTAGCGGTACTAAGCGGTACCGAGCATGTACCAAGCGGTACCGAGCATGTATTGAGCGGTACTGAGTATATACTGAGCAATACCGAGCATGTACTGAGCAATACCGAGCATGTACTGAGCGGTACCGAGCATATACTGAGCAATATCGAGCATATACTGAGCAATACCGAGCATGTACTGAGCAATACCGAGCATGTATTGAGCAATACCGAGCATGTACTGAGCATGTACCTAGCGATACCTCATTTAATAACCGGACATGCGTGTCCGATTTTAATTTTAATTTTAATTTTTTTAATTGCGATACTCCAATGCCGTGTCGGACACGTGTCCATGCCGTGTCCGACGCGTGTCCGTGTCTGACACGTGTCCGACACTGCATACCCTCTCTAAGTGCCATGTCGGTGCATCATAGATCATTTGCCATCCGATGCCTCATCATGAATAGCCAAATTATCTTCATCCTCCTCCAAAACTTCAATACATGAAATAGAAGCGTACGACTCATTACACGTGCATCAAACAATTGAGCCACATGCCTCTATCTCCATCTGTGAGGCATAAGTTTCAAAGTGCTTTGCATGCGCCTCACGTTGAGCTGGACTTCAAGGTAAGCCTCAAATTACATAATTTTAAACAATGGATACTAGCAAATTTTAGATCAGCAGGAGAATTTGGTGTAATTTTTAGTGTATGGGGGTGGTCGAAGGTATTCAATTATATGTTTTTGTTTTATTTAGGTTTGACATGACTTTGATCCTTTTATGTGCCTTTTTGGAACCTGTAAAATTTTCTTATTAGCTGCAGCGGATAATAAACAAGGATTAAATTGTTTAAGACAGGCAGTGAAATCTAACATTCAATTGCACCACCATAATCTAACTGAATTGCGTTGAAAATGCTGAGTCATTTTTGAAGGGAAGAGAGCATTTATTATTGTGATCCCACAGCAGCTCCCTTCTGTTTCTATTTTTTATGGTTCAACTATAGTGACCACCTTTCTTATGTACGAGTATGGCATATTACTATTCGTCCGTTTTGATTAGCAATGATATAGCGTAGCATGAATTTCCATTTTGGATCGATTTTTGTATTTGTAAAAATCTCATCTATTTCAATCAACATTAAACTAAATATGCATCCTGGAATTTGACTATACGTGTTTTGGGATATGAGACAGCATTTCTTCAACTTATTTTGAAACACATGTTTAAGCTTTTGATCATTCTGTTTTTCTGCCATGCTTGCCCGCTTAGGAAAGAAGAACCCAGCCCCATGTTCTCTTCTTACCCCCATTCCATTACACCCAACACATAAAACTTGTATATCATGTACGCAACCAATAAAACTACTTTTGATATCGTTGTTACTTTTGAACTGTTCTGCTAGTTTCTTCTTGGCCGTCATTTGGCACATTTTAAAGTTAATTTTTTCGTTATTCTTTTTTGTTATAATGCAGAGTAATTGTTGTGGTCTCTTTTTGATGTTTGTTCAGTAAGCATTCATACTGGCTTGCTGATCCGTTTAAGTTGACACATATTAGATTTTTGAATTTTCGTTTTGAGCACTTTTTCCTTTTTAGTTTTATAGGAATGGATGTGCTATGGTCAACTATTTTTTAATCATTGACTTGAAACTAGCTTTCTAACCCTGTTGAAATTCCCTTGCATTAGCAACTTGCTAAATCAAACCAATTAATTATGCGAATTATACCATTGTTTTGAATCTTCAGAGAACCGCTCATTAAGAACCACCTCAAATTGTGTTTTTTGAAATTTTGCTCTTTATAATTTCATCACATTTAGTATGAATGTTATTGCCCCTATTAACATAAATCAATCAATACCTACTATTTTGCATCTATGATCCATTTATGGCTACTCATGAATCTGATAGGAAACACTTGTCAATCTCAAGTAATTCCTATCAATCTCTGGAAAACAGCGAGAATTCTCCACAAAAATTCACACAAAACTAGGAAAACAATAGATAATTTGTATTATTTGATGAAATAGAAACGGAAAATACCAAGATACAATTGATCCTCTATTCGAGAGGAGGATCTATCTCTCCCAATTCTCTAGACGCCGTTAGAACCAAAAACCTAAAAGAGATCTCAAATTTCAGTCAAATTCAAGATGCCATAATCCTAGGAAAACAAACTATTTAATGCATACAATCCAAAAAGAAATCTCTAAACTGCCCCTGCTTTTAAATTTCCCTTCTAAACTTCTAAATCCTTCCTAATTAGGTCTTTTGGATTCTGCGGCTTGAGCGACACAAGCAGGAGGCGAAAATTCTCCGCCTCTATTACCCGTTAGCTGGTCCTGTATGGACCGGTTGGACCAGTCTAACAATACTCCACTCCCAAAGACTCACCTTGTCGCCAAGGTTGGAAGACGATATCCTCCTCCATTCCCTCATCATCACAAACAATGAGAACTTGAAGAGTTTGATCATTATATCTTTTGCCCCGGTGTATACCTCTCCTCACATCTGAAACGAGCCCCTTTGCTCTCTTCTTCTGTAACTCCATTTTTGTGAGCTTCTTGAAATTGTCCCCGGGTCTTCCATCGACAGTCTTCTCCTTCGTGGTCTCCCGAAGGGTACCCAGTGTTGGCCTTGGATGCAAAAGGGTGTGGTCATCCTGTACATGCCTCCTGGGCTGCTACCTTCCCTCCCTTTCTCTAGGTGCTTTTTATCCTCCACCAACTGAGCTAGCTCCATAGCCTCTCTCAAGTCACGAGGCCCGCATCACTCTAACTGTCGCCCGGATCTCTGGTTTCAGTCCCTTCATGAAGTTTCCCTTTAGCACGATCTCAGAAAGGCGGTCCAATTGGCTAGCAAGGCACTCAAACCTCTCCTGGTACTCTATCATTGAATCATCTTGTGTCAATGCGAAGAACTGCTTGTAGAAGTCTCACCCCCTGTCGGTTCGGTATCGTTCTAATAGGTAATCCTTGAACTCCCTCCAACTCCGTATGGGTCATCGCATGTCCCTCCACTGGTATCAAGTCAAAGCTTTCCCTTCCAAACATAGGCCAGCTGCGGTCAGTCTCTCCTCCGCCGTCAACTTATTGACAGTGAAGTACCTTTCCACCCTGTAGATCCACCCATGTGCATTCGCTCCCTCAAAAATAAGCATATTTAGTTTTCTCACTCTCAGATCTCCTTCGCCAACCATGCTTTCTCCAAAATTTTCCATTCCCCAAGGGGGTGGTTCCTCCTAATTGTGTCAATCGTCCCTCCTCCACTCGCATCCAAACCTTTAATCACAAGCCCACCTTCTCTCTTCAAATTCAGCACCCCTTTGATCATATTCAACCCATCTCCTTTCAAATTTGACACCTCTTTGATCATAATCAAGTCCTCACCTTTCAATTAAGCCCTTCTTCTTTCTAATTCAACACGCCTCCACTCATGCCTAATCCTCTCACGCCTCTCCACATACCCTCTATCCGACTCCTCCCTAAGAATAGGCCCTAGGGGAGGCATTTTTTCTGTTC